AGCATAGTAAGGCGGCAATCAGGAGAAGAGCTAGGGTTTTCATACAGAGCCCCAGAACGAGGAGACCTGAGAGACCTTTCCTTCTAAGCAAGTGCTTCCATGATACAAGCGCAAAGCAGTTGGGAGGCTCAATTTGCAAGGAAGATATCTGAAACACTCGTATAGTCATATATGACTTGGAGAACTCGAGCTGATCGCAACAATTCAGGATCGAATGAGTTTGAGAAAAATTTGGTACCTATTGTTCAACTTTGTTCATTCTTCTACATTCGTACCATTTTCCAGTCAGTATACTTGCTGCTGTATCTAAACTGAGGGTCTGAGGCTCAAATCTTTGGTGGTGTATAGCTGATTATTGGTAGAAAAGAAGGAAAAGAAATGTAACATGATTAGTGCTCTGTTAAGTTTTAATTGCAGAAATCTCTCAGACCTCACTACAGCCATTCACATATACTGGATAGATTGCTTTGATTTCCAACCTATATGGTATTATGGTATAAATGATTAACCTCTCAGATCAGCCAAGTCTGGTTCCTACCTCATGTTCTTCCGTTAGTTCCTGGAACAAGAACAGTTCGGTTTGTTCTTCGATATGTTCCTGAAACATGAAGAACGGGGTATCATAAGATACAACTGTCAGTTTCATGTTTTATCGGTAATTTGGTCTTTTATTTGAAGACCATGATATCTGATACGTGGATCGTCACAACATCCCTCAATGTGCAATTGCAACTATACAGCTCTCAAGTACGACTGTCTGTAATCACCATGCTAAAGTAGCGTTGCAGCAGCAATTCCTATATATGACAGAAGGTCCTAAACTGCTGTCGCTAACTGTGTTTTGTGAATCCATGTTTGCAAATCGTAAATACACTGAGCTGAGCATCATCAATGCCAAAATCAGAGATCCAATGGAGATCAGATCTTCAGGTGAGAAATGTATGTATACATACCCTCCTAAGCCCTCCTCACCCATCTCTGTCCTGTATCAAGTTGCCGATCATCTTGCCAAGGGCACGGTGCCCTTGGCCATGATCTCCAGTCTCGACGTGTTGGAGGCGTTCCCGAACAGTGCCAGGCCGAACATCAAGAGCTCCGGCAGGAAGAGTCTGGATGACAGGAAACCGTGCCAGTAGTGCGGCTCCAGGTCGAAGAAGGCGTCGAAGAACCGGCGCGTTCCCTCGAGGTCCAGCTTGAGCAGGATGTCCATGCCGAAGCAGAAGAACTCCCTCTGCCGCCGCCTGTTGGCTGGCCACAGCTGCTTCCACACCTCGGCGGATAGCGCGTCCCCTGCCAGGCCGCCCATGCCGTTGCCCGTGTCGAGGAACCTCACGATGGCGTCGGCCACGATGGGCGCGGTGGCAAGCGTGCGCGCCACCATGTAGCCCGTTGACGGGTGCACCATCCCGGCCGTGCCGCCGATGCCGACCACCCTCTGCGGCAGGACGGGGAGCGGCCCTCCCATGGGGATGACGCAGCGCTCGTCCTCCTCGACGCTCCGGACGCGTATCCCCAGGTGCCTGAGGCGCGCGGCCATGCGCTCCTGGATGTCGTCCATGGCGAGCCCCGGGCGCGCGACCAGGGACGTCTCCTCGAGGAAGATCCTGGTGGGGGAGAAGGGCATGGCGTAGAGGAAGGTGGGGATGCGGCGGTTGCGCTCCCTGATCTCCGACCCCTCGGGGAGGTGGGAGTCGCGCCAGTCCATGAAGAGCATCTTGTCGATGTCGAACGGGTGGGCGTCCACCTCGGCGAGGATGCCGTAGGCGACCTGGTATCCCGGGTTGTACGGCTTGTCGTACTGCACGAGGCAGCGCGAGAAGCCCGTGGCGTCGAGCACGACGCTGGCCGGGACGGCGACGCCGTCGTCGCAGATGAGGAGGGAGGAGGCGTCGTAGTGGACGGCCTTGGCGACCTTGGCCTGGTGGAAGACGACGCCGTTGGCGACGCAGCGGTCCATCATGGCGGACTTGAGCTTGCGGCGCGCGACGCGGGCGTAGGGGCGGTCGAGCGACTTGGCGCGGCCGTCGCCGATGAAGACGGAGGCGGACGGCCAGACGGTGTCGAGGCAGTGGGAGAGGCCCATAGCCTCGAACTCGTCCACCCACACGCCGTAGTTGTTGGGCCACACCACCGCGGGGGACGGGTCGATGGCGCACACCGACAGGCCCGCCTCCGCCACGCGCTGCGCCACGGCGAGGCCAGCGGGCCCGCCGCCCACCACGGCGAGGTCCACGGGGCGGGCGCGCGCCGGGTCGTAGCGGGGCAGGTCGAGGGACAGCAGCTCCGGCCGCGTGGGCGGGGCCAGGGACCGCAGCGCCGCGGCCGACGCCGGCCCCGCCGTCCCCGCCGCGGCGCGGCAGATTACGGACGCGCGCGGCGCGGGCGGCGGCGACGGCAGCTTGCAGGGGTGGTGGTGGGTGCGGAGGAGGATGGCGGTGGCGGCCATGGTGGGGGAGGTGGGGGGAATTCGAGCGCGGTGGAGCCGTGCAATCCTGAGCCTGAGGCGGTGGTGATAAGCTGCAGCTGCAGCTGATTTCAGTGGGGGCACCACTGTCGATCCAATTCCAATGGCATTCTTCACCCAAGCCCCTCAAATGTTTTGTGAATGTTGTTTTTTTCCCTTAAATCTGGTATATGTCCTATATGGATCACCAATGGTAGATGCACATGGGGCATAAGTCTTCGAGGGTAGTCTAGTCCGTTGAAACTGAAACAACATGCTTGAATTTTTGAGCATGTGACAAGTGACTTTTAGAGTGAGGTATGTTTATTTGAATTTTGAAGGCACTTACATATGCTGAGTGGATGCCATGTTTTCTAATTTGCGTGGATCATATTGCCACTAGCCAGGGACTAGAATGATTTATATAGGGTAGGGCATGGAATGTAGTCTCTAGGGTTTTAATTTTCTGATTTTGAAAAAACACTTCACACGAGATCGATTGTAAACATTTTTCTTGGCTGGACATTGACATAATGACATGGAAGCATTTGGATTAGACTTAGCTCTAAAGAACAAAGAATAAAATATGGCACTCCCATAGACAGGAAAGGCTTCAACTAGAAGGGAGAAGAAAAGGATTTTGCTACAATCTTAGTAGAAGGCCTTGATATTGAGTTGTGTGAAGAACTTCCTATATCAGCTCCCTCCCTGTCGTCTCCTTTTCACTTCCCCGAACATCATGATTCTTCAATCCTTCTATGGCTGCGATTCGGCTGGGAAACTTCAGCTGACTGAGATTCTTTATTTCCAGCCGGAACAGTGTTTTCTCTCACAAAATACAGCGTGAACAGTAATCCGTACCAGCATGCACAGTACTTCATCCCAGCCGAACACAGCCTATATTGCCTCTGTAGTGGAGTGCCTTGCTACTTCAATATGAAAAGGAAGATGAGATCACGATTTATGGCTTTCCATTACTTTTAGGCCTCGTTTGGTACAACCCTGCTTTACTTATGGAGTAATTTTCTTTATCTTTAGTTCCATAAACAACTCCACTGGTGGAGTTAAAGCTATATTGAAAAAAAAACACATTTGGAAAAACTACTTCTCAATTAGATGTAAGAGATGGATCTGGAAGAAGCTAGTATTTTCATTCCATCCAATTCCTACTCCATGCATGTGAGAGGAGGTTTCAAGAAGCTTTAATTAAGGAGTTGTTCTATCTAACCCGGTTTGGCGAGAAACACTTTTGAAGTTGCTGAAGAAGCTACGCCAAACAAGATCTTAGCATTGTGTTCGATCAATCTCGTAGAATGGCTTGGTGCCCCGTAAAACCTAATCAAGGACCGTTATTCATAAATGCTAGCTAACTCTAGAACTACAAAATTATACTCCCTTCATTTCAAATTGTACGAGATCCAAATATTGCATGGATCGATCGAACACAATTTTTAAGTTGCTCTTCATAAAATCTGGTCAAGAACCATTGATCGAACAAAATTATAATCCCTCCATTTCCATTTCAAATTCTACGAGCTAAGTCGTTCTGGCTAGATACATAATAAATTTTTGTTATACATACGTAGAAAAGTCAAAATTATTTAATTCGGAATGGAGGACGTTCTCATTTGCACTCACTGAAAATGGATCACACCGTTACATGATACAAGGAAAGATGAAGGGCAAGTCTGCGAAAAGGTGTTTGCCGATTCTACCGATAGATCCTGCGCCGGCCTTCGCAGGTAAGAGACAAGAATAGGTGGAGCGAAGACATGGGTTCCACAGCCACCACGAGCACAACATCGGAAGCTTACCCCCACTACTTGTCACCTTACAAACCGTCCAAATTGGTAGCAAACTAGCAATACCGTATTTGCCATGCCCCCATGTTTATTCAGGCCTGAGTGCCTGACAAGGAGATGTGCCCTGTGTCTGGGACTATGCGAGAGCTAAACTGGCCAGCAGTCCATGTCATGAACATGAAGGCCAGCAGTAGCATCAACATAGACGGCAGCAAAGAATCTTCGCATCATTCACAAACAGTATGTGCAAATTGCATGCGAATTTGACATAATTAGCAGCAACGACGATGAGAGAAAGAACAAGGCGCACGTTGAACATTATTTGAAATGACGACGATCATGTTCATCATCAATATAATTCATCACCCGCACTTGTCAGTACACACATACAGAAGACGATGGAAGCCGAAGAGAACATCCATCAGCAATGGTCCCTCTGACGAGAGCTCACACTGACGACTACATGTTCAGACAAAATGGCCCCAACATATACATCTTGCGTACCTGCTATTACACTATATATCGTTGCTAAAGAACAACTAAACCTAAGAAAAAATAGAGTAACATACAGCTTCCACACGTAGTGTATATGCCACTACTACTAAAGATCCAAACCTACATGAAAGAAGAAAAACTAACAAACTGGTGCTACTATTCAGTAGTATTCAGAGACAGACAGGAGAACTCCTTACGGCTCAATTAGGTGCTGAACAGGAAGGCACATGTCGTAAGCTGATGCTAGCTACCTGCCAGTTCTAGTTATGCGTGGACGGGTGCCTGTGGACGGAGTGGTAGTCGGCGGTGAAGGGTATCCGGCCACCGAAGCTAAACTGCGGCGGCGAAGCAGGCATCTGCTTCCAGCTGCTGGTTCTTCTGAAACGGCGGTTGTTCGTCTTCACCACTTCATCATCCTTCCTCCTCCTGGCGGTCGCATCCTCCCCGCCCTCCGCCGTTGCCGTCGCCGTCGCCGCAGTTCCTGAGCTGTTCATGTCTTGCCGCCCTTCGTCATCGCCGATGGCCGCCATTAGTGGCAGCTCTGCAAATGGAAGAGGTGCATGCATCACATCAAGTACCGGCCACATTGCGCAGACACAAACTGTCTGAACTCTGAAGTGACAGATTCGATCGGAAAGGAAGAGCGGCCATGGTCTGACAGAAGTGCGTGTTGCGTGTTTAGTTTACCTCTGCGCGCGGTAGCGACGACGGCGACGGGGCTGAGCGCGGCCAGCAGGAGAAGTAGGCCGACGACGCACTTCAACTGCCGCCGCATAACTACCCTATTATCACCAGCGGGCCTCTGAGACTGACTGACTGAACACTGAAGTCTGAAGGGGGAAAATGGAACGGAGAGGCGGCCTGGGCAGGAACAAAATGGAAAGGCTGGCATGCAGAGATGTTTTAAAGGGAGTTTTTAGTTCAGATACACGCACACGTACACACACACACCATTGGTCAAAGCTTTGGACTCCATGCCATGCAAGCATGGTGTGCTGTCTGTCGTCCCCTGTACTTTTAAACCCTTGGTGCGTGGGGCTCTGCGACCTGATTAACCGAGCTGGTCATTGGCCTGATGCCCAGTTTGTCCCCTGTCCCTTGTCACTTGTCAAGCTGCTTGCTTCTCCCGATGGTATTTGCACGTCGTCTTAGCTTCTGAGCTGCTGTAATTTGCAAAAACAACTTGGATCGAGGCCTCGATCGCCATTGCTTACGGTTGAAGATTTTTTTTCCCACTCGAAGGCCATCCTCCATTTCCATTTAAAGATAAACGGAAATACATGAGATTGTTCAGAAAGAGAGAAAAGAGAGTTCAGGGCCACAATTCTAAACACCCAAGCGCCCGGCATCTGACTCAGAGATGGGCAAACTACCAGACACAAAGACCTGATACCAGAATTCCAGAAGGGAAGAGAGGTAGACAAAAAAAAAAACCAGTCTCTAGACAACCAAACAAAACAGCCATGATCATACAACTACCCAACAGACAGATACGAGCATCAGCAGGTCTTTGTTTTGCGGCATACGTCTTCACAGGTTCCTATCATCATCATCATCGCCAGACTTCAGGCGCTTCATCCGATCTTCAACTGTACTCTTGGGTAGAAGAAGTCTTGTTGCCTCCCTGAGCATAGTATTCACCCCATTGATGAGCATCTCTTTGTCGACTTCAGCGTAGAGACCTGTCCAGAAACGCATTAGCGCACCAGCGTGGCATAGTATCTCAATGGGGTTCTTGATAACCACCTCATTAAAACAAGCTTTGTTGCGGCCCTTCCATATAGCCCAACATATTGTAGCAACCCCCCACACATGGTACTTTTTCTCAGCAGGTAACCATCTATCGCACCAGCTCCAGCATTGAGCTAAGGATGCGGGTATATTATTTGCCCCAACCACTTTAGCAATTACTGCCCAGATAACTTTGGCAGTTGGGCAAGTAAAAAACAAATGATCAACGGTTTCATTCTGATCACAGAAATGACACATTGGGCTGCCTGACCACTTTCTTCTAATAAGGTTATCTTTCGTTAGCACAGCATTATTGGTCAGCAGCCAAATGAAAATTTTGATTTTCTGAGGCACCTTGCCTTTCCATATCAGTTTGTGGGACGGACCAGCATCATTTTTAGTCAATGCATTATATAATGACTTTACAGAAAATTTCCTATTTTTCTCAAATTTCCATAGGATTAGATCATCAGCTTCTCGAAGTTCAAATTGTTGATAGAGCGGCATGGTATTGCGTGAGCCAGCAGTGCAGTCGTCTGGATTCAAGACGACGACGACGCCGTGCCGCGGCATGGTATTGCGTGAGCGACGACACGGGCGCATGGCTGTGGTGGCCTCGTCTTCAGACTTGAGGCGTGGCTCTTCGCGCCAATCATGGCGGCATGATTCCGAAAGCTGCGACGACCTGCGTGCCATGGCAGGGCTTCGACACCGGCACCGGGGACGTGCTGCATGTTTGCTGGTTACGAGGAGAGGGCGTCTGTCCTCGAGCGGATCTGGTCCGAAACTGAACGGCTACTACGCTACTAGGAGAGTAGGAGTACAACGAACCGCGCGCCAGAGTTTTTTTTTTTAATTCCCATCAGACAGTCAAGTCGGTCTTTTTGGAAGGGAGATCCCGGTCTCATGCATCTCTGCTTCATGCTGCCGTGTCAAAGTCAAGAGGGTGTATATATCCTCCACGGCGAAAGGGCAATGATCGCTCTCAAACTCGGAGCCGGCTAAAACGATATGCACCGTCGATTTTGATGTCAGTTACCACGAATCTATATCTCTTGTAAAGATAAACACCACTAACAATTTATCTTGCCATACAAATGTCCACATCAGCATCCACTAGAACATCTCACTAGCACATTCAACTATCTCTGTCCACATCAACATCCACTGACACATATCACTATGTCTTCATTCAAGCTATTCACATTAGCAAACCACATCATTTACTAACATATATTTAGTTGTCCACATCAGAATGGTAAAAGTCATCCACTAACATGTATTATGATATTTATTTAATTATATTAGTAAATATAAGTAGTATAATTTCACCAGCGATTCCCGCAGCAACGCGCGGGGCGTTCTTCTAGTTATATTATCTCATAAGGAGTAATATGAAAAATAGAGATAATATCTCGATATATATATTATATACGTATATTTTTTTACAAAACACAACTCCGATTTATTTTAAGTGAGAGCACTCGTTGGAGCCGATTTCATGTCATGTATTGTTTCCGTTTGTAAGCGTGATTGTAATAGCATTGCGCATGCTCTTGCTGCGTATGGCTGTAATCTCCCAAGTGGAAGCTATAACACTTGGGAGGGGGTTCCTTGTATCCTTGAGGAATTGGGGACCAGCGATTTGGCTTGGTCAGTTGAATAATAAAAGTTCTAAAAGTAAAAAAAAATATTTATCCACGTGCAGGCCTATATGCACTCGTCATGGGGACCCAACAAGGTAGTAGTGGGATCTTTTTTTTTTTACCTACAATCATGTCAATGCAAACAAGGAAGACAGGGACACAAAATATTTATTGGCGTGAGGGATGATGGGATCCTAGAAATTTCTTTATTTAGAGTATATATAACCGTTTCAAGGCCGTGATTTCTTTATTCTAGACAAATTAAACATTTCAACCATTTGATTGATGCCCGATGGCTCCAAACAGTAGTAAGCTACGTATTAGTCAATAACCAGCTAAGAGCTTCTCCAATAGTTCAAAAAAAAAAACAATTGGCAAACCAATAAGTTTTCCATGTGACTAAAAAAAGTTAGGAGCATATTTGTTGGGTTCATCCTATAGTTTTTAAAATCTCGGTTCTAAAATATAAAAGATAATTGTGCATCAGGAATCTCAGACTATTTCTAAATTATCCTAACCATTTTTATATTTAGTTTCTCTCTTATACATTTGCATCGGGAACCTGTCCTAGTCCTTATTCTTCTCCACGTTCTTCCACCTTCCTATTGGCTGATGGATATGCGCGTAGATAGGTCGATTTTTCCAAGTGCGGAAAGATTATGAGTTGAGAAACGGAGTTGTTGCATAGCATATTTTTCCAATCTTGCCAAAAAAAAATCAAGATTGGGAGTGAGTTTTGAAAAATCTTGGAGACGCTCTAACTATTTCTAGCTACTTTTTATTTTTTATTAGAAAATTTCATGCCTAAATTTCTGTTTTTGAAACTTGTAAACTTATGTAGCATATAACTATTTGTGTACAAATCTATCATGACAACTCCTCAACGTGACTTGTTCGTCACAACTTTTATGAGAGAAAACGTTGTCATGCAACTTTTGATAATTTTTATGGTTAACTTGTGCACATAATTTTTAGTTGTTCAACTTGTTTGAGACCCTTTTTGTCTTTTTAAATTTTTACAGAATAAACTTATACAAACATAAAATTTGGTAACAACTCGTTTTACTATCATTTTTAACAAACAGTTTTCTTAATGCCTCCATCAACTAATCTTTCTTGATAAAATTTATTAACACACAATTTATACTCTCGAAACATTTATGGACGCCTTTTTAGAATAAGTTGTGCAACTAACTTATTTGAAAATATCGTAGAAAAGATAGGATGAGTTTTTTTTTCATACAAGATAGGATGAGTTTGAAAAGGATACAAAGAGTTACCTGGCTCACGGTTACGACTGGACCCGAATTTTTTATTTTTTAACTCTTTTTTTGAAATTTTTTCACAGATATGTCCCTGGAGGTAAGATTTCAAAATCTGGACCCTTATCTTGGTGCCATCGTTGCTGGCGTTGAGTTTTTGAGCTCGACGTTGACGTGGCGGTGATTTGGCCAAGCCTGCATGGTTGCTGTTGCGGGCGTAGCGCTGCAGCGGCGTGGGCGCCGGGCAGGCAGGGTCGCGACACGCAGGTTCCTGCTCATCTTCCTCTTCACATGTGCCGGGGGCTGCTCCACAGCTCCAGTACTCCTGTCTTATCGATTGCCAACCTGTCAACCAACGACAAACAAATACGGTCCTACTGCAGGGGCGGATCCACCATCCTCTGTAGCCTTTAACATATGTGTTTAACCTAAAACGTACATACAAAGATCGACTGTTTTGAATGTGAATCCTACGGGGCGCTGCCCCGTTCTGGATCCGCCCCTGTCCTACTGTACCATCCTCTGTGCGTACTGTACGTACATACGTACTCCTACTTGTATGGACCTCCAGTCGATGGATGGATCGAATCGGATCCTCCTGTGCCGTGATATCAGGTCTGCTGCGCGCTGGAAAGGCTACCCTCAGCCTACACCGCCAGTGTCGTCGCTGCCAACCGTGCACTACTGCACTGCAGCATGCCTGACGTGAACGTGACCAAAAAAGTGAGCACGTACGTACGGTGGTCGATTCTCGCCGCGCATGCAGCAGGCCTTCGGACTTCCCTTTCAGCCAGCCTCGCCAGACGGCCAAGCACACAAAAAGCGGCCGCGCAAGCGCCTCCATGTCAGAGGCCTGTCGTGCGACCATGTATCCTGTACTCCTGTGTCCTGTGTCCTGTGTCCATGCCCATGTGGGATGCGCCCCACTACTACGGCGCCGGTGGACGACACCTCTCGGCCGGCCCCGCGCAACGCACCACGCCGGCTAGGCTCGGCTCCTGGGTACGTTTTGCGCCGGCAATGGCTGCACCGCCGCGGCACATTGACGAGGCCGAGCTGTGGAGTACGTACTCCGTAGTGCCATACGGAACGTGATGTGAGTAGACAGGTCGCTGGAAGCCTGGAACTGATCGATC